CTCATTATGTATACATGTTTTATATTAAAATGTATTTTGTAATGTAAATATTTTACAAATACAATTAATTTTTAAGATTTCTTTGTAGCATCTCACAAATGATACCCTGATAAAAAATGTCTGTCCCATCCCATCAGCATGCAATACAATCAGGGGGCACCATGGCATTCGTGGAATCAAAAACACCCCTCCCCCTCCATATAGATGAAGATCTTCATATGTTTGGATGAACACATAAGTTAGAATTGGGGATCTTTAGCTGCCCACTTATATTACAATTTGCTTGTACAATCTACAAACTTCAGACTATAACTGCACAGTAATCGCGGTAGGCTCAGTTCACAAAGCTAAAACACACAGGATAAAGATACTTGTTTTCAAACAAAGTGACGGTTATTTTTTGCCGAGTCCAATCAGGTTTTAAAAATAAAAGTCACATGACTAAAAATAACGTTACTTATCTTTGCGTGCAGCTTTGTGAATTGAGCCCAACGTGTGTTCGGTCGCACGGGATCATAAAAACTGGATGAGGTTATATAATACATAAACAGGATACAATGGGGTCTAATCACTAAGCTGCCGTAGGCAGCCGAGTGAACGACCGACCTGAAGTGAAGTGAGCCGAACACTGTTCAACTATTCACTTCAGGTTTGTACGCCTGATTTCAGCCATATATCGGCTAAAATCAGCCGTACATCGGGTGGCTTCGTCTTGCTCCGGGTCGGCCGAACATGCTTAGCATATTCGGCCGACCCGAAGTTCAGAAGGAGTTCGACTCAGCCGATCCAACATCTGGATCGGCTAAGACGAACCTCCGGCAGGCTACTCGCTGCTGCTCGGTCTATTCTCATAGATGCCGAACAGCAGCGAGTAAATAGCCGAATGCCGCTTACCTGGTAATCTGCAAGTGGCCGGAGCCAGCCGTAAGATCACGGCTGGCTCCGCCCAGCTGTCGGAAGCAGCCGAAGCTACGGCTAGATCCTTCGGCTGCTTAGTGAATAGACCCCAATGTTTCTAAATTGTAACACATACGCGGTGTAATTGTTAACCTATGCGTAACGTTTGTTATGGTATCAGGTAGGATTGTACGATCAGAATCTTGATGCCTTCTAAACTTCTTTTAAAACCACCATCAGGCAGGAGAGCTTTCTTAATGCTGTTTGTGATAAAATGACATAAAAAGAATCCAACATCCAATCATAGCCTGCAGCAATCTTCTCAGTTGATCGGACTGACATGTTTGAGTACAAAAAAAAAATAGCATGAAAAGTAAGCTGTCCTAAGTTTCAAAGTAAGTAAGAACATGGAATACCTAAAATATATGGCACCCAGAGCCAATCACTTTACAACCCTGCCTTGCTATATAGGTCAGAAATAATCATGGAATTAAATGAATAATAATGGCCAGAAAAAGAAAACAGTGTGAAATTGTAGAGTTGCCTTACATAGGTGGTCAGTGAAAAAATACACCCTTTCATTGGTGGTCAATGGAGAAATATACCCTTACATTGGACAGCAGTGGGAAAATATGCCCTTACATAGGTGGTCAAAGGAGAAACGACCAAACCACTTCAAGACCAGGTGTTTAGACCCCCTTCCTGTCCAGGCCATTTTTCAGTATTCAGCGCTGCGATACTTTGACTGACGTTTATTCCGTCATGCAACGCTGTACTGAAATGAATTTTACACCATTTTTTGGGGACAGATAGAAAGGCTGCCCGTTTTTACATTGCGGCCATTTCCCGCTCGCGTGAGCCCTACTTACGCTGGTGGTAAGTGGAGAAGAACCTCCCTTACGCTGGTGGTAAGTGGAGAAGAATCTCCCTTGCGCTGGTGGTAAGTGGAGAAATTACCCCATACATTGGTAGTCAGTGAAGAAATTACCCCATACATTGGTGGTCAAGTGAGTAATCCCCCCTTACATTGGTGGTCAGGTGAGTAATCCCCCCTTACATTGGTGGTCAGTGAAGAAATACCCCCTTACATAAGTGGTAATTGGATAAATGCCCCATACATTGGTGGTCAGTAGAGAATTTCCCCCTTACACTGGTGGTCAGTGGAAACATGCCTCCATACATTAGTGGTCAGTGGAATAATGCCCTCTTACATTGGTGGTCAATGAAGAAACACCCCCGTACATTGGTGGTCAATGAAGAAACACCCCCGTACATTGGTGGTCAGTAAAGAAATACCCCCTTACATTGGTGGCCAGTGGAGAAATACCCTCTTACATAGGTGATAAGTAGATAAATGCCCCCAATACATTGGTGGTCAGTGGAGAATTTCCCCCTTACACTGGTGGTCAGAGGAAAAATGCCCCCTGACATTGATAGTCAGTGGAGAAATACTTCCTTACATTGGTGGCCAGTGGAAAAGGCACCAATACATAGGTGGTCAGTGGAGAAATTTCCCCCTACACTGGTGATTAGTGGA